GTCGAAAGTTTTTCACTAGAAATATTCAACACTCTTCGATAAAACCTAGACGATAATTTCACTGTATCAAACCAAGTGGTTACTGAGTCACCTCCCCAGTGCAAAGGGTCAACCTCGATCTTTTCTCCTCGCCGCGCCGATTCGGCGAAACTTTCGTCGCTTTCTCGGATTCTTTCGACAGCAGCGTCGAACCTGGAAGACCGCGCGTAATCAGCGATACAGCTGCACCTGTTGCTGGACTAACGATCATCGAAGCGGCGAGAGCGAAAGAGGAGGCGCGTCGCGTCGCGCCCTATCGTTTCCGGCGCGGAGGAGCCGCTCGAAGCGGATCCATCCGCGTGCAGGCTCATTTTCGAGAGCACTATCGATCTCGCCGGCCGCGGACCGCGCTTTATCAATTATTCCCGGCTCGATTTGAATAATTCAGCCGCGCTCGGGCGAGCGGCGGGGGGCGGGACGGCCGGTCAATCCGACCGGACGACTCGCTTCCGACTCGATCTCCTGTTTCCTCTCGGTTAATAACATCGCTCGCAGGGATTATTACACACCAATCTTTCTCGAAATTTCATCAACCGCTGCGAGACGCGTCGATCCTGCTATCGAGTTCCACGCGATCGACCGATAACTTGAATTAGGTATAAATCGGTAAGACTGACGCGAAAGGGAAATCGTGTCGTTTCCTTAACAGGTTCCGCGTGAAAAATAGGAAATAGGTTCAAGGATATGGAGAAGAGAAAGGAAACGGAAAAGAATCTGAAAACCGGTGCAAATTATCGAGATTCGATTATTTAACACAGAAACTACAGAAAAGTTTACAATTTTTCTGTATCAAATCACCTGGCGACTGGGAGTCGCCCGAGTGCAAAGAGTTAAGAAAATTGATTTATTGTGAATTTTGTTCAAATTGTCAATTGAACACTGAAACCATCAGACTCGTCGGAACGACGCATTCCTGATGTCTTCATTTTGTAATTATTAGGCAACAGATGTTTCTCTGAGAAAGTATTAACCCTTTGCACTCGAAAGTTTTTCCCACATTTTTACAATCAATTAAAATTAAATAACCGCAGTACACACAATATTAGAATACCCATCTCTGACTCTACAATAAATTTTTAAGTTCTTCGTTTTCCACTGAGAATTCATTTTTGGTCTGAACGGAAAATTCAACGTGGGTCGTATACACGTACTTCCCTTTCTCAATGACTCAAGCAGCGAATATACAATTCAGCTTCATCTGCTGGCGGTTCTCTATATTTCAAAGGCTGCTCGCTCGCAAAGAGATAATACAATACCACGAAACGAATGATTCCGCAGCAAATGACGTGCCACAGGAGTATCAGGATCAACGAAGATTCATATCGCGATGCGTTGATCACGCGTGTTTCTTCCCAGCGTTCCCTCTAATTTTCAGTGGGAATCGCCTCGAAAACTACAAGACGTTGAACCGCGGGGTGCTGCAATTTGCGCATCGAAAATGAATACCTTCGCGAGTCCTTCGTCGCGTTCAGCTTGAGCAGACAGCGGATAACGCGGAAGAAATCGCGGCACGTGTCTCGATTTGTCTCGGCGACCGATTTCGTTCGCTACTCGGAGATAATTGTAACCTCTAAGGTTGTAACGCGGAGATTGCGATGTAACGAATAATTATTCGCCATTGCTACGAAAGGATAATCATCGCGCTAAGCAATTCCAGATTCTCGCGTAACTGAACACTCGATCGTTGGAAAATGTTGAATATTTCCAGCTGTAGGGCTACTAAAATAAAAACTCACCGTCCTATCACAGTAACATACAAACATACAAAATTCCCTTTTCTCCATTTTCCTTTCCCTTCAAATTGTAATCACTAAACAACTCATATTTTATTATATCATTCACCGTCCCATTACAGTAACATGCAAGCTCAAAACTCGTTTCTCGAAAACGAGGAATTGTCAAGAAAAACATCTTCATTCCTAGATATTGTAGGGCTACTAAAATAAAAACTAAGTTCGTAGTCAGGTTAAATATATTTATTACGCGATGTGGCTCTAACGAACGCCGACTAACTGCTCTTCCTCAACTGCTTTTCCAAAAAGGAAAACTCTTCATGGGGCGAACCGTCTGCACAGGCAAAAACTGTCGAGCGCAAAGGGTTGATGCAATTTGTATCTTGAAATTCTATATAATCCGCGATCTCCGACCTCAACGATTCTCGACGCGACTCTCCGATCAGAGATCCCGATTTCGAGTAAATCGACCGGACGAGATCGCTCGTGCGCGAACGAACCGTTTAAAAAGGTATCGCCGCTCTCGAGGCGTTCGCGAGCAGTTCGGGGAACGGCGTAACTCGCTCGCCATTAAGAATCGTGCGTTATTCGATTACTCTCGTTATAGAGGGAAAGGGGTCGTGCTCCGCGGCGTGCTCGAAAGAATTTAAAGAGCACTTGGGAGGGTTCCCGTGGAACATCCCGAACGCGGACGGCGATCGATCAAGAATATATTCTTCGCCGCGCGTACGGCGAATCTAGCGGCAAAGGTTTCCGTTTTATTTTTAGAACGGCGCTCTGATCGCGAGCCTTTTCCCTTTCGCGGAACGCTGGGAATGCCGTCGAAAGTATCATCCCTCCGTGCTTCAACACGTTAGAGCCCTGGGTATTTTTCCATAGCAGGACTGAAAGCCCAAGGAACCGTTGTTTCGCTAATTTAGTCGCAGTTGCTTCGGCACGTTTGCCAGTTTCGTAGATTCACCGTAGTTTTAACCTTACATCCGTTTGCCGGAAGTCGAGGCTATCCTTGGTTTTATCACTCGCTATGGCCAGTGACGAGAACGCTCGGGACCCTTGCGTGGCTCACCCGGGGCTGCAATCGGCAACCCCTCTAGGATCGCTGGTCGAGGGGAAGTTAGTCCCACTCGAAGGAATTCGTTTGCACGCGCCCACTACCTCGGAAGGCTACGAATCAGGCGGACTTCCAATTTTGCGCACGCCTACCCAAAGGTTTATAAAAACCCACGCAAGATACGGAGACGATAGACGTAAAAGATAGATTCAAGCTACACAAACGAGACGGAGTGTACAGACGTCGTTGTAGACACCGCTGACGAGTATCACCGAATTCTCTTAATAAACAGCGAGTTATCTCCACCGAAGTAAATATTAACACGTTAAGCGCCACGAAAATCTTAAGCGTTTTCCCATAGAGTTTGTCTTTCGTAGCAAAGAAAAGTAGGAATACTTATGAATTGTTCGGCGTTGGAACGTTTGCCTTACACTATTATCAACTTAGTTGCCTTATTGAACATTTTTATTTCACATCGGCTGTCCTGTACGTTACGATTGTCTTTTAGTCATTCAGAAGCGTCGGTCAGCAGTGGCTGACATGGCGCTTAACGTGTTAATACGGTCCACTTCCAATCAGTAGCGCAAAGTTAAGTCGGCGTGCGACGTGCGAGTTTCGCTATTAAAATTTCGAAATAGAAAACGCGTGCTCGACGATAGGGAATCGGATTCGCCGAAAGACGGAGGGGACGCGAGGCGTAGGCGCGCGAACGCCTCGACACGGCCCTGCTCCTGTCCGGCAAACGTGCTCTAAATTCTTAAAGGCGGAACGCTGATCGCAGCTGAATAGAGAATCAAGGCTCCGCTGAATAGGACGCAATTTCCCGGCGATACTCTTCGACCGGCCATCGGATCCCGAGCGGCGCCGATGCGCGCCGATCCTCGCTGCGAATTATTGCATTACCGCGCCGGCTCGATTGCGCTCCTCCGCGACGAGGATTCTCGCTGCGAAAGTCTCGGCTAATGCACTCAATTAGCGCCCTCCGACCCGTTACACGCTCGCGATGGCCATTAACGAGCCTCGCGGGGCGGGAGCGCGCCGCGATCGAACGTCGAATCGGAATCGATTCCTGCGTCCACGTCGACGACAGCGCTGCGTTTTCCGCGTGCGTGCTCGTTACCAGTCGATCGCGAGTAGAAACCACGAATCCGGGTAGCTCCGGTGACCTCTATTAAACGACTGCATTTCTAACTAGATACTAACTTGCGTTCTAATTGAAAGACGGATATTATGCATTCGTAACGAGCACCAGTGCATGGAACACGACAGAAACAAGAGCTTGACACTAAACCTACCGAGCGGTTGAATAGTAGCTTCCAGGGTGCATCTATCGAGACTTCAATTGATTTGCAATTAGGGCTACGTATAAATCAATTTCTTGGATAATTTCGAGAAGTACCTGTTGTCTTTTTAACCCTTCGAAGTCTTGAATTCATTAATCTCCGGCTTGTGGAAAATTTCAGATTGAATCGTAAATTCGGTTCGCGTATTGATAAATCTATTTCCTGGATAACTTCTTCGAGAAATATCTGTTACACTTTTAACCCTTTGCACTCGAGAGGCGCCGTTCACTCGCCATTTGATTTCACCCAACGAAATGATAGAGTTTAAAATTCAATATTAAATCTTCTATAATCTACCAATACATGGAACATCGAAATTGTAAAAAATACCATTGATATTTCATCGGAAAATAAGGAATATTTGTTGCAAAAAATATTCTCGAGTGCAAAGGGTTAATCCCTGCAGCAAGAAGAAATCAGGAGTCTCGACGCTAGTGGCTTTACTGTTAAGACTATCGCTTCTTCGACCAATTAACGCGTTGAGTACATTAATCAAAATCGTGAAGCCTCCCAGATTTTTCAGCGAACATTCCAGCTACACGAGTTCCGAAAGGCTCGAGATATTTTTACTGCGGATCGCCCCGGGGGATTTCTATATCGCGTAAAGATCCTCTATCTAGTAATAAGATCGCGTTTCGGCCGACTCCGGTTTCGTGTTTGCCGGGTGGCACACGTGGCAACGAACGACGTGTTTGCGAAATCGATTACGCTCACCGGTCGGGTGTAGTGCATGCGGCTCGGCTTGGGGGCGACGCCGCGCGCGTCCCCGATAACCTCCTTTGAGCTCTCTCTTCTCCGCGGCGGCTAACTCCTTTCATCTTGCGTGCTTTCCAGGTTGGCAGCGCAAGAGGCGGCACAAAGGGACCCTGGATACGCGAGTCAGTACAGGAGAAGGCCGAGGTTGGCCGGACTGAGTGGTCTCGGTGACTGGACTAGCTTTGGAGGGGAGGTAAGAGGCCCACAGCTTGGGAAAGCTTCCGTCTGAGGTACTCGTTAATTGCGGTTCATCGCGGCGTCCCTCTCGCCGGGACGCCGCGCGGGCAGAGTGTTAACACTTAGGCGACTGAAAAGAACTGGAACTGCGATCTTCTCCATTATCTTCGATTGAGTTCGTTCAATTAATTGGAAACTCTGTTTTGTAAAAATTGAACCGTGTTTGATGAATTGCGAATAATCACATTTCAAAACTTACTAAATAACGAAAGAAAAGGTAAATAGGATAAAAGGCAATACTAAGTGAAAAGTGGGAGATCTTCCCATTCGGTTAGCTAAGTGTTAACAGCGAACAGTTCCATTTCACTGTTATCGAGAAGATGCAAGTCATCCCAATCGTTGCACGAGTAATAATTCGGACGCAGGGCGGCCGTCTGTGGATAATACAAATACTTCGAGATTTTCAGTAGACGTCTCAGCGTTTAGGATCGCGGAGTAACGCGTTGAGACGTAAACGTTTATAATATATAAAGGACACATGCATGAGAGGGTAAAGAATCAACATCTATTCTCTATGCATATTTCTTTAGAAATAATTCATGTTCGAAGGATCTCGATCGAAGGTTTAAAAGATACTTGTTTCCTATTATAACTTAGTTTATTACACCTAGTATTTCTTGGTCATACCCTTAACACTAGGTTCACCGATCGGCTTATCTCGACCCATTTCGAACTTCACAAGGAAAATTACAGAAGCTACTTACGTTTCTTCCTAGAACTTGCACTGACCTTTGTACATCTCATAGTTTCATTTAGATCATTCTATAATTACGTCGCCTTCGAATTCTCTCAAGGAAATCTGATCGAATCGGCCCATGTCGGTGGAGATGGGTACATGAAAATATCGGTGAACCTAGTGTCAACGACAGCTCCTACGTGGCATGGATTTAATTCTAAAACCGATCAGGCCGAGAACTTTCGAACGCTGGAGGTGCCGCGTTAGTCGAGCCGACCTTCGCTTCAAAAGTGAAGAAGAACGAAACCCCCCCTGTTTCTCTTTGAGCGTGAAAACGCGGGATTCGGAGTCTGTCGTTTGAGAGCCAGCGCTCAATGTGTTAATTTCGAATGAGAGATCGGCTTGATTAACGTGGGACCTACGTAGTAGACAGTAAGGGATACGCGATCGAGCAACGAACGAGTACAGAACGCTGTAAACCGGGGGAACAGGTACCTGGTCTGGTGGACATGGCGCCAGGCCGGGATCAGGGCGGAGGGGCGGGTGGCGGTGGGGGAGGCGGCAAGGGCACCACGTCGTTGTTTATCCTTTCGGAGGATAACTGCATCCGGAAGCATACCCGGTTCATAATCGAGTGGCCGCCCTTCGAGTACGCCGTCCTGCTCACCATCATCGCCAATTGCGTGGTCCTCGCCCTCGAGGAGCACCTGCCCAAGCAGGACAAGACCATACTCGCGCAGAAGCTCGAGGCCACCGAAATCTACTTCCTCGGGATCTTCTGCGTCGAGGCGAGCCTCAAGATCCTCGCCCTTGGCTTCGTCCTCCACCGTGGCTCCTATTTGCGCAACATCTGGAACATCATGGATTTCTTCGTCGTGGTGACCGGGTGAGACGACCATTTTTCTCATTATATCCACGCGACTTCTCTATTCAGCCCTCTCTCTGTCTGTCTACCTGTCTGTCTATCTCTCTATCTCTCTCTCTCTCGTCTTTATCTTTTTATCATACATCTGTATCGAGAATCTATAAATCGTTCAGATTCGGGTCCTAGGCCTCGCGTTTCGGTGGAGGAGATCCGGAACGATCGAAAGTACGGAATCGCTCGATGAATCGTTACACCGTGTTTTATCCGATAACTTTCTGTTTGTATATAGAGCATTGTTCGATAACTTGGAGAACGAGCGATTCCGAACGATCGCCGATTCCGCGAAAGAAACATTTCGTATTGGATCTCCCGTACGTCACTCGCGACACGTTTCTCGGGACTTGCTTTCCATTCGCCGGGATTTCTCTCTTTCTCGTATGATCACGACTTAACGATCTCTCGTTCCCTCCCCTCGTTTTCTGCTCCGAACAAACGAACGATCGCGAAGCCCCACTTTTTCTGTTTACTGTCCAATCCGTCAATCTCTTTCACACACACACACACTCTCTCTCTCTCTCTCTTTCTCTCTCTCTGCCTACACACTGGTATCTCTTCTCTTTCTCTCTATCTCTCTGCGTCTATTCGAAAATCGTCTGAACGCGTATCGGCCTACCGGTCGCGGTGCACGATCGACGCGTTGCCTGCCGCCGCGCCGTTCGTCGGCTGTCGAGGCGAACCGGAAGGTTTGGAGAGGAAAACAATGGACGAGGGGAATGTTACGGTCAGGTCTGATCGACTTCCTTAACGAGTTAACTTCGAGCGCTTAATCGTTTCGGGAGTGAACGAACCCCGCGCGATCGAGCGATCCGTTGTCCCCCCGATACGCCGCGCGATCCGTGTCTCCTGGGAGGAAAACGCCTTTTCTCGTTCGGATTTCTTGTCGTCGCTCGCATCGTCCAATTATACAAGAATTCTATTATCGAGCTATAAAAATAACTTTCATCGAGATCTTCGCAACGCGTTCTGTTGCAAAGCAAAAGTTTGAAACAGAAGAAAAAATCGGCGAGGACGACGCAACGACCGTCCGAGGAAAGGCTCTTTCTCCGCGCAGGCGCGTAAGACTTAAGGCTAAGAAACAGAAACGGAAAGCAAAGAAAATATCGCGCCGATCGGTGTTTTCCGGCCGAGCAGATAGATTCTAGAGTAATCCTTGGATTAGGTCGATGACCGTGTTCGCCGAAACAAACGTGGACGTCGACCTGCGTATGCTACGTTCCTTCAGGGTCCTCAGACCGCTAAAGCTGGTTTCGAAAATTCCAAGTGAGTCAGTCACGCAGTTCCTGCGATAAAAGAGCAGAAAATTGCGAAAACATTGCCATATAAGTAAACAGTAACACATATACGTATATATATATATATACATGCAAAGTGCAGTAACAGAGAACAGTCGAGCAGCAAGATTCACGTTAAACTAACTTGAAACCCCTTTATTATAACTAACCCCTGGCAGTTGTTCATCCCTGGCAGTTTTTGTGTGCGTTCGACTAGTTTCCTTAGTTCTTTTAAGCGTCCCTTGATTAACAACCAGGCACTTAGTTCGTCGGCCATATTTAGTTTCTCTTTGTTCTTTGTCCGTTTGACCGTCCCTCTTTTCATTTTTTTCCCCCCTCTCTGTCTCCCTCTGCTGTCCTTGTTTCTTTGTTTCCCCGTTTTTTTCTGTCTTGACCTATCTATTGCTTTTATCGACACTTTGGTTTGGTCGACGTTTTAGCTCCAACAAGCGAGAACAGAGCATCGAGCTAACTTGGCTAGAATTTTCTTCATATTTCTGACACACCTGTTATACTTTCTTTCTCTTTCCCTCTTTCTCTCTCTTACTCTCTCTTTCTCTCTCTCCCCTTCTCTCTCTCTCTCTCTCTTTCTCTCTGTCTCCTTTCTATCATTATTAGTTCTCTCCGTCCTCTTAGATTGACCTCATCTATTAATTTCTCCGTGTTCCTCCACTCGTTTGATTTCGTTCGGTTTACGTTCGCCCCTGTCACCGATTAAAATCCCACCATCACCACTTAGAGGCTATGGGTGTATTAGATCAGTTGATTGACGCTAGATGATCGTTGACAGTTGATGAACCGATATATTACTTGATACATGATATATCTATATATTTATTATTATATTATTATTATTATTATTATTAATATTATATATATATTCTGTGTCTACGTGTTTGCGTAATTTCAAGTGTCCACTATATATATATAAGTATATACATCTATACACGTAATTACTCTATATTCTACTGCCTCTATAGAGGACTTGCGTGAACTAGTCGCTAGAGTGTTTATAAATTGCGTTATTTGTTCTATCTTCTGTCGTTTTGGTTCAGTTTTTGTGCACACGTTGTTCGTTGATTTAGAGACTTCCGACGTCGTGGAGTTACACACGTACACACACTGATACTCACACACAGACACTCGCACACATATACACACAGACACGCCGCATCGTCGAGGAAATCTTTCCGTCGAAAACCAAAAGAATTTTCTCATTTCAACTCGGCTTTTTTCGATTCGATCGTCACAAGATCGATTTCCAACGAGAAACCAATCGATAATCGAAAATTAAACGGAACAGAAACTGCGCGTTTACATTTTGCAACAAAGAAACGATGAATTCCTGATTGCCAATCGGACATACGGATACATCATTATTATTTGCCCGCGAGAACACAAGAGAAACGACCACACAATACTTAACCGGCCTGCGGGTGTCTCTATACTTAGCAGTCTCTATCTTTTAGCTACCAGTCACTGTTTGATTGAATTGACTAATAAATTGGTAAATAGGTACTAGGTGTTTCTAGAGCAGTAACGTATTCGAGCGAGCTCGTGTTTGCTAGAGAGTCGTACCTTTTAGACGCCCTCGAGAGACCGTGTCATCGTCCCTCGGAATCGTAGATCTCGCCGAGGTATCCTCTCTTACGCTTCCCTATCACCATCGATCCTTGAAGCTTCTCCCTCCCTCCCGCCCCTCTGTCTCTCTCTGTCTCTCTCTCTGTCTCTCTATCTATCTGTCTATCCGTTTCTCTCGTTCTCTGCTCCTCTATCTTTCTTTCTATTTATCTGTTTATTTCGTGTGATGCCGATAAGCGTGTGCGCGGAAGACTGGTCCTTCCCGTCGATTCCCGAGGGATCCCCTAATTGCTAGCGTCCTCCCGCGTCGCTCGGTGTTCGTCCTTTTCAGGATTCAAACGGAAATCCACTCTCCGAAGGAGCGTTTCGTCCGATCGTTCGATGCATTCGGCGTCGCCGCGCGGACGCGGAGTTTACCCGTGAGTTTTACAGCTCGAGTTCAAGAAAGAAGAAACGAGGAAGGAAGATACAAAACGGAGATTTTCCGACGACCGGCTCGACGATCGGCTAAATTGATTCCCTTCGTAACCCGTCCCCTTTCACGAAGACAGTTCGAGGGGTAATCTATCGATGCGCTAATTCGATAAGCTAATCC